AACGATGCGGGAGAGTTTGGCTTTGTGTTTGGTGGTGAGGGAGTTGTACCAGGATGAGATGTTAAAAGTGAGGATGGATTCAATAAGTGAGCGGCAAACCAGAGTTAAAAAACAAATCCCAGTCAGTCAGTTCAAAACAACCTTTAAGTGATTCAGCTGCTTCTTTGTTCCAGACTCTGATATTCTTTGTGATGGGTTTTCCTGTTCTCAGTTGCGATCTGTATCTTGGCAGTAACAAGATGACGTTGTGGTCAGAGCGGCCAAGAGGTGGGCGTGGTTTTGAAATGTATGCATGAGGGATGTTGCCATAGAACAAGTCCAGTATGTTTGGCATTCTGGTGGGAGTTGTGACGTATTGCTCCATATTGGGCAGGCGTGTGGTGATGTCACACCTGTTAAAGCCCCCCAGTACAAACACTGGCTGCTCTCCAGTCTGATTGACAGCTCGATTATAACAATCAGATATGTGCTCAGCAGCTAGGTTGAAATCAGGCCCTGGTACTGTTACGACCCCTAAATCAATGACTCGTTTTTACCGGGAGTCGAACATAAATCAATCAGAGATTAAATCATTTCAAAGAAAAGGTTTATTTTTACAATCTGAATTATCTTAATAACACTAATAATGGACAAAGAAACAACAAAACTACAAGCTGAAAACCTGGGGTACAAAACAAAACAGAAAAGAAAGGTCAGCCACCCAAGCCAGCCCACACCGGGCCGTCGGACCGGGCACTCACCCTCTACCACCAGAACCACAGGATCCCTTAAAACAATGAGCAAAAGCTGCGATAAAGAAATAAACACTCCACCAGGTTACTCAGACAACATTGATACTGAATAGACATTCTGTTGTGACTCTCAGGAGCCCAGGAGAGAGAGACGGATGATTTGCACCGTCCTCAATCACCCCCAACCATACACACCCTAGGGAGAGACAAAAGCAATTAGTCAACAGGTTACAAACAGTTACAAAGTACAACCAGCAGAGGGGGACAAAACAACATGCAACGTAACACCCCCACCCTGTATTTGAACATCGTAGACTGAAAGAAGCATAGTTTTTCAGGGTGCAGTGTTCAAGAACAACAATTAAAGACTGTACAGCGCGTCAGCTACAACATTATCCCTGCCACGGATATGTTTGAGCTCTATATTGAATCCCTGCAGACGCAAAACTCCAACTCATAAGGCGCCTGTTCTTGTTTCGCATTCTATGCAGGAATACCAGCGGATTGTGATCGGTATACTCAATTACAGGAACAATGGATGAACCGACATGCACCTCAAAATGTTCCACAGCCAAAACGAGAGCGAATGTCTCTTTTTCCACCGTGCAATACCATTTCTGGTGGCGATCTGACTTTTTTGAGAAATAGGAAACTGGATGCTCGAGCTCATCAGCACCTTCTTGCATGAGAACAACGCCCACTCCGGTGTCACTCGCGTCCACAGCAAGCCTGAACAGCCTATCAAACCGAGGTGCTGCCAGAACAGTGCATTCAACAGCAGGTTTTTCGTTTGCTCAAATAAAACTCACCTTGACTCAGCAGATCAGTCAAGGGAGAGGCTACAGCAGACATGTGGACATCTGGCTCACAGACAGGTGAGACAAACGAGAAGGAAGATTCTGCAAGATCTGCCAATTCGCCAACTTTCCCTTTCGTCAACGCCACATGCAAACCCCCTTGATTCACTTCAGCATCTGGACAAACGTGCGACACCAGTCCTGTCACAAGACTTCCACACGGCGCGGTGAGCTCAGCACCGGACAGCACCTGCTCCCTCAGTCACACACGGTGAAGTGATTCAAGAACTGGACAGCAGCAACAGATGACCCCCAACCATACACACCCTAAGGGAGAGGAGCAACACCTGGGGAGCAAACGGGACGGAGAGAATATTAAAAAAAAACACACACACACAACACTACCGCACGTAACCACAACTAAAACCTTCACTTCATGTTTTTTTTTTTTTTTTTTTTTTTAAGAACAAAGGTTTAGGTTTGCTGAATCAAATGGCATTGTGACTTGCTTCTGTCCATGGCTGTGGTCCTGTGATTTTTTCAGCAGATTCTACTGTTTAGTTTTTGAGACAATTAAAGGAAAATGTTCTCAAATTTTGATTAAAACTCAAAAATGTAATACAAAATAATAAAGATACAACCTGATATATGATACATCACAAAACAGCAAAAAAATATTTTCAAAACTGCCACCATGGGGAGCGAACTGATCTCATTCACACAGATTCATACGATGAAGCAGTGGGAGCAACTCGGGTTAAGTGTCTTGCCCAAGAGCACGTCAGACATGAGGCTGCAGGAGACCTTCTGGTTGGGAGACGACTGACTCTACCGAACCGCTCATGTACTTAATACTACTTCTGTACTTTTAGTAAAAGGGGGAATTTAAGTGTTTTACATTGTGGAACTGATACTTTATGTGTGTCAAATATACAACTGGCACCTGACCTACTGATCGGACATCCTGACTGAACTCTGACTGCAGCTCCATTTGGCAGCTGGAGACGAGAAATGAGAGCCTGGGAGACACTTCCACTATAAAGCCAGCTGTGTCCACATGTGGCTCCTCTTTGTCTTAATGTTAGCATCTGAACACACAGCAACACAACTCTGTGTGGCAGTAAGCTGCAGCTAGTTCTTTAAAGGTTTTGACTTGAAACAGGATGGTGAATTGGTCAGGATGCAGAATAAATAAGGAGGAGACGTAGTATTCTCTGAAAGTGCCTTGTGGTCCAGCAGTGTTTATTTACCAACATCTAGTACTGTGGTATACATATCTAGTCTGTAACAAAAAGGTAAACAAATTAAGGTACAAAAGAGACAGGTATGTGCACTGACATGCATAAAAATGTTCACACCAGCACAGAGGTTAATTAGAAAATAAACACTAATTTCTAACATGAATATATTCCTTAGAATTATTAGAGCAAGGTATGTGGCAGAAAGATTCGAGTTCAACAAATATACATCGACGAAATGAGCTCTTTAGGCAGATTAACAACTTCACATACTGTCTGGGTTTACAAATAGAAATGGCGCCATCTGCTGGTAAACAAAGGGTATTACAAGATAGCGTCCATAAACGGACATATCATCAACAAGTGGAATCAATTAAACTCCCATCAGTAAAGGCACGGCTCGTGTGTAGTTAAAACTTAGAAAAAACTACAAAACATTCAACAAAGAATAAGCCTGAGGTTAAAGGCCGAGCATCCTTTCTCCAGCTTAGCGTAAACACTGGAATCACTGTTGGATATACAAGAACAGGAAGGATATTATAACAAAGCTAAACGTTAAAACAGAAGTAGGGTGAACTTGTAATCTGCTGCTCTCATCTTTATGTGCATCTCATCATTTAAAATCCGGAGTCCGCCCAATCCGAGACCGAGAAGAGGAAAAATGATTTAGAGTCTGAGACCGTCAAAAGGTCTAGTTTGAAGTATTACAACACTGCATTCAAGTTGTTCTAAACAGCTTTTGTCATGTTTCTGTATGGAAATGTAAATATCCTAGTTATAGGTGCACTATGGAGTTTTGGAGAGAAATGTGAAAGTTGGAGAAGAACTGTGTTCCATCGACCCATTTTTTCCTTTGAATAAAGTTTGTGTATTTAGTTCAGAAAATATAGTACGGACTTGTTTCACTTCTCCAACTTTCAAATTTCACTCCCAAATCTACACAGTGCACCTTTAAGGTTGAGAACATGAATCTTCATTGATGCTTCTGACACTTTCAGACGCTACACATTTATGTAGCTTATTGAAAAAAGCTCGCTATTTGCATTTGCACTTTACATTTACATTTTTTTTTTTTAAATTAATGCAACCTGATAATGCAATAATATATCATAAATTGTTCTCAAACTGGAAATTCTGCAAAAAGCACCTTCTCTGTTGATAGTTGAAGTTCATCTAACCGATAATAATTTGTACCTACACAGTTAGATTGCACCTATAACTTTTACTTACAGTACATGAGTACACAACAATTAAGTTTGGTTGTGCTTTATGTATTCTTCATGGATTGTGGTTAATGCAAACAGGCCTATAGGAAACTTGGCATGCGCTGCTGCTGTGTGCATCGGCATCCTCCGTACAAACTTGTATTTGTGACATGGGAACATTTTGTACCGTCCACAACATGCAGAGGGAAGTGAAGTGAGACAATGAGCCCCTCTTTTTGTCATGGAAAAAAAAAAGTTTCCTGTTACATAATCACAGCTCCCCCTAAAAAGCTCTTCACTGATTGGATACAAATTGAAGATCTGGCTAATCAAACTGTATAGCCCAATCAGATTTCAACTCATGTAAAGTGTGTGCGAGGCTTTCACTTAAGCCTAATCCTCCATCACATTGCCTGAATCAATAACACATTTCACTGTCAGCTCATATCCATCACTTCTCCTGAGGGATTAAGTGTGCATGCACAGACAGCTGCTGCGTGCATCCTTCATAGGAACTTAGATTCCATATGGTAAAACTGTGCAGGGCCTTACGATAAAACAAAAGGTCCTGTTACATAATCACAGCTCTCCCTTGAATGCAAATGGGCGATTGGATAAAACAGGTCTCAGTAAACAAATTCAATAGCCGACTGGGATAAAGGGGTTGCCAAAGTCTGAGTGAGGTTTCTAGACTAAAGATTAAAGACTGATTTCATGACCAGTGCAAACGTGTCCATCACTTGTCTTGGGGGATGTAATGACTCCACTCATCAGCATCAAGGGATGCAACACAGTCTTGTGCATATAAGCCTCCTATGGTGTGAATGTTCCTCATATGTGCCCCGTCTTTCACACAATGTCATCTTTCACAGATCACGCTTGTGTCGTAAAAAAAAAAACTCAAATCCATGACGACATGGTTTGATACTTCAGGAGGATTCAAGACTCACGAACTGGAACATTCAGTCCTCACTATATAAAAAAAAGGGAGTCACTCCCCTCTCTCCCCCACCCCTTTTCTCTCCACCCTCCAGTTTATAAACGTATAAAAAAAGGAGAAGAATTCACTTGTTGCACTCCTCTCCTTCTCTTCGACTGCAGTCTTCCTGAGGTTGAACACTCAAGCCTGTAAGTACTGAATACTTTTATACTAATGCATGGAATCAAGTATTTCTCTGCAAGATCTCTTTAATGCATGAAGATGTCTTTGCAGTGCACTGTTAATGTTGCTGTTAAAATTAAGAATAAAGCATAAGGCTTATTGGGAATTGCAAACATAAGTACAAAAATATGTCTTTAACACATTTTCAGTGTTTCAGTGGAATACAGCTCTGATTTTCTTTTTTGCTGCAGAATCATGAGCAGGAACTTCTTGTCTAAAAATGATGAGCTCCGCAAGGGAGACTACCTGATTTCCAACAATGGAGAGTACAAGGCTATCTTCCAGGTGAGTAATAAATACCGTTATTATGATGCATATACATGTGAATATTTACTCTTAAAGAGTGAACGTTTGTGCACCCTGTTTGCAGCTTAATGGGTTTTTTTCTGTGTGCAGGATGATGGTAACTTTGTCATCTACGGCTGGAAGCCTGTGTGGTCTTCAGACACCGCAGGATCAGACGCTCTCCGCGTGTGCATGCAGGCCGACAGTAACCTGGTCATGTACAACAAGTGTGACGAACCAAAGTGGCACACAAACACCTCCTCCTCCGACAAATGCAACATGTGCCGTCTTCACCTGACCAATGATGGGAAACTGCTGGTGAACAAGGAATGTGAAGAAGTTTGGAGCTCCGCTAAATCCAAAGGCATGAAGTGATGAATTAAAAATGTAAGAGATGTTAACTGGAGATGGTAAACATGGTGATTTTGTAATCTTGAGTCAAATAAAAGCTTTTTTATTGCATCCATACACGTGTGAATTCCGTATCTTTGTGTGTGCTTTTATCAGGCCTTAAAAACACTCACAATGAATTTTAAACACATATTTTGTTGTATCATATTTTCATTTTATCTTGTGCATTGCCATTTTTATTAGACTGAATGGTACTTTTGTTCTTTATACTTAAATTTATACACACAATAAGCATTATGCAACTAGTATATACTTCATATAAAAGCAAATTGTTAACCGTAAACTGCAACGACACTTCAAGCATTAAACAGCTGTATCCAGAATAATGTGAAAATCGATCCCTCTATCAGTCAAAATATGGAGTACTAAAGAGTCAGTCAGAATGAAACAGAGGAAACAAAGTGAAGGAGACAACTTCCTCTCACTGCTTTTTAAACGCCTTCTGTAAGCTGGGTGTGGAGAGAAGAGATAGGACAGACAGTTGAGTGTCTCTCTCTCTTTTTTTTAAATTGAGAACTGAATGTTCCTGTTAGAGGGTCTTGGACGTCATGGTTTGGTCTCTTATGACACAAGTATGATCTGTGAAAGAAGACATGATGGTGAGTGAGTTCATCTGAAGGATGGACACATGTGAACATTTTGAAAGATAATTTAGTCATTTAACACAATAAGGAGTGTTGAATGCAGAAGTGAGCGCTGCATCAGCTTTATCCATGAGTGCAAATCAGTGGAGTAGTTTCTCAGGAGGAGTGATAGACATGTTTGCACTGGTCATGATTTCTGTCTGTGATAAGTTTGAAAGCCACATTTTGACAAACCTTAAATGTCAGGATGCTATTAAATCTAATTATACTGTAACGACCTGTATGTTTTCAACTCTTATGTAACAGGATTTTTTTAATCCATAAAAAAGAGCTATTACACAATGTACCATAATGTATCCGATTCCCTATGAAGCACACATTAGCAGCTGACTAACGTCATAATGTCTAGAAACCAAGAAACCAACTCATCTGATTGAAGGTTTCTGTACAATTTATCAAAATATTCACACTTAACTACCTTTAATGTTGTACTTAAATATTCAGTTTGTAAACAAGTTTGAGTTGGTGTACTGTAAGTTACAGAAGTGCACAAAGATGTGCTCTGTATGAATGTCTCCTATGAATATATTGCAAAAAATATGATGGCCTAGTGGTAAGGTTGTGCCCAATGTACAGAGGCTAAAGCCCTCCAAGTGGGCGGCCCGGATTCAATTACCAACCCGGGCCGATCCTTTCCTGTGGGTTGTTCCCCGCTCTGCCTCTCCCTGATTTCCACTTCATCCACTGTCCTATCAAAGAAAGGCAAAAAGCCCAAAATCAAATCTTTAAAAAGATTCTGGAAGAAGAAAGGGGCTTAAAGGGGGCTCAATCTTTTTCAAGTAGGCCACCAAGGTTGTGTCAAATGATTCTTCTTGTCAAAGCTTGAGTAAAAACTTTAGTTGATGCCATCTCAAATAAGACATTTTTTATAAAAGGAAATCCGAGTTGTGTTGCTGTGTGTTCAGATGCTAACATATTGATGAGGAGGAGCCACATGTGGACACAGCTGGCTTTAGAGAGGAAGTAACTTCCAGGCTCTCATTTCCTGCATCAAGCTGCCATACGAAGCTTCAGCAGAGTTCAGTCAGGATGTCAGACCAGTTGGTCATGTGGCTGTTGTTTATTTCACAAACAGCTCATGCATACTCAGTCGTAGTTTCATGCTGACATCAGCTGTTCACATCTATCCAGTCGTGCTGTGACACCGCCTCCTCGTTACATTTGACAAACTAATCTGTTCAGTTTGTTTTCTTTACTTAATGATCCCTTCCCACGATTTAACAATTTCACCTCTAAGGACAAAACCTTATCATTTCTTTGACATTGAAGCATTTGACTGTTTCAGTAAACCCTCTGTCTGACACTTACCTTGCAGTTTCAGGCATAACAAATAATAATAAAGAAACCATGAATCTGGTCAGTTATTTGCATTGTTTGCTTCAGTGGGTCATACAGAACGTCATTAATAACCTCAGTCTGTTTTTATAACCAGTGATAACCTCCTCACTGTTCTGTAGAAACTTGACTTCACACAAGAACGATTCAGGAGACTCAGATAGTTGAAGATGAAGATGTTTATATGAGGCATTTACAGCACACATGTGATACAGCGTCTCCCCAAAACTTGAACGTGACTTTTAAGATAATAGAGAGCAGACACTAAACAATCCAGCGACACAAAGTGACCTTGGTTGGCATAGTCACGGCTAACAGTATCAGCTGTGCAGCAGGGCAGAGAATGAGCTAAATGTCTGTGCATCTTCAGACATGCAGAAATTCCATCCCAACTCTCAGGAGCTTTCACTCTCTATTTTGTTATAAAAATAACTGTGAACTTAAGTTATTTAAAGATAGCAAGATAGCTCACGTCTTGGTGTTAAACAGAGGGGTATTTTTTCATCGACTTTATTGTTTCTGTTTGCATGGACTTTCAACTCTGAATGAGAGTGGGTGTGTTTGTTTGCAGGGGGCAGATATGCTGGAGGAGATTTGGAGCAAATAAAAAATCAAACAAGACCACACACAACTGATCACATTAATTCAAGTTATATCACAGCATTTTCTTTTTTTTTTTATTACACAGAAATACTGTGACTTTACTGTACGAGAGAACTTGCACTAGAAAACCTTGGATGTGAGCATGACAAGTGGCATGTCAGAGTCTCTCACAGTAAGGAAGTAAGCATGCAAAAGTTTGACTATGAATGATTTTGCTAGTATGTTAGCGTGTTCATTTTAGCTGTTTTATAGTTTTATTAGGACGGGAGTTTAGAAGCCAACAGTGTAGGAGCTCCACTGTTGTAATTCATTTTTTTGCAGTGCGCGATCCTTGCCGTCCTCATCGCCTGAAACAAGAGAGTAAACACGTTAAGAGTAGACAACACAGCCTGCTAGGTTGTCAAATTAACCCTAAGAACACACACAACGAAGAGCTTTGTGGGCTTAAATCCAAATCAATCACAATTAAGACAAGAAGAAAAGTATACCTCTGTGAGTCTCGGTTTCTGGATGCAGTCAAGATATGGTTTTGGGTTCGTTTGGATCTGGTCTTCTGCTGTTTTGTAGCAAACTGCACAGTCCATCAGTGGCTGGATGGTCATTAAAAACACAAGGATGATGTTAATGTTCTGAACACTTTACATATATTTGACAAGAATGCTTCTTTTTCTATTTATTTTTTTTAATCCACTCACTCTGTCGTTCCTGAAGGGGCATCTCTGAGGACTGGAGGTGGGTGTTCCTTTGGGACACCAGGTAGGTTTCAAGTAGAAATTGTGGAAGACGTATCTCGTACCGAATCCAGACTGCAAGAGAGTAAGAAATCATTTAAATACGAGTTGCAAATGTAGAAGTGTTTATGATTCCACTTGCCATCATTTGCCCTTATTTTACTACTTTAATTGTGTAAATATTGTGTAATATATTCTTCGATGTTCCAACAGGACTGGTACTTTATGTGTAACAGAGCGCCCTCTGCTGGGACCCCTGCAGACTTGAGCGGTGCAGCCAATTTAACCATGTGGTGTGTTTTACAGTGTCACCGTGTCACTTTTCTGATCATATTAATTTGTTATGGAGTCATTTAGACTCACCACGTAGCTCAAATCGTAGCTTCACTATTGATTTGCTGTGAAGGACCTAATATGCTTCTGTTGTTATCAGAATAAACAACATGCTGAGGACGTGTGATGATTCTTTTGAGTCTGTGTAAATCAATTTTCAGATGTTAAAGCAAAAGAACAATGTTTGAGCATCAATCAATTAAAGCTGCAACAGGAAAAATACTAATCTGTAAAGGGTCCACACTGTAAATTAAAGTGGATAAAGCCTGAGTGATGTCACCCATTGGTTACTGCAGAGGTCTATGGAGTCATCATGAGCTAATCAGACCTATTTTTTTTTTTTTGTACCAGGCTGTAAACATTTTGATATCTGATGTAAAAACAGACTTTTTTGAATGGGTGTGTATGTGACTTCCTGTGCTCCTGGAGCCAGCCTCTAGTGGACACTCAATGAACTGCAGGATTGTGCACTTCCTCATTGGCTTCATTTTTCAACAGAGGAGATTGCCGCTTGGATCATATCAGTGTAAAATCATCAGAAAAGTTTTTTAGAGATGTTTCCAGGTTACTTATTGTGGACCCACACAGTGCTCAGGAAACATTTAGGAGATGACCTCTTGGTTGCACTAATTAAAAGACAAAAACAAACCAAATCTCAAAATGACAGGAAGTCAGCGATCTGTCGATAACCTTCAGAATGTGCAGTTAAAGTTTTCTGATCTGACAGATGTGTTCAAAGCAAAATCATTTGTCTCAGCCCTCTGAAACCAATCACTATTTAAAAGACGGCTCAGAGAGTCGAAGGAGGTCAGATTTTCTTTTTCTTTCAAAAAACATTCCAGCAAAGACACACCTTACAGGAGTTTACTTCTAATGAAACCAAACCCTGCTGAAAACATGTTGATTCAAAGTGCATTTGACCTGCAGCAGATGTGAAAGTATGCGCCATAATTCCCTGAAGGCAGAGGCAGTTTGACAAACACCAGAAGCAGATTAGAGGAATCTGACACAGAACTTCAGTCTTTTTCTTAAATATTTAGATTCACATTGAATATTTGGCTGATTCGTTTTATGAATTGATGTCTAGTTTTCCCTGAAATCCACTGTAACCGCCATCAGTGTTTCTCATGAGGCATGCTAATATAAAGAATAAAGCATACTTAGGCTCTCTGATAGAATATATCAGAGTCCCATCTTAATGCTTCAGGCCTATAGACTTGATAAAAGCAACAAAAGCAATAATGAGATTAAAAACTTAGATGCCAAGTTTACCTCGATGTCTGACTTCTCCAAACTTCTCAGGAAGCGAAAATGGTGGTGCACCCCGACATGAGAGTTGAGCTGCTCTAAGGTGAGGTTCACTCCCTTCTTGTAGTAATCAGGCAGCTCAGTATAAGGATCCTGTGCCT